GACGTTTCACACAGAGAAGCTTTCACACACAGAAGCTTTTACACAAAGAAGTCTTTACACAAAGTGGTTTTTACACACGAAACTTTTACACACAAAAGCTTTTACACGGAGAAGTCTTTGCACAGAGGCGCCTTTACACGAAGTAACAAGTTGAAATTGGCAGCAGTTCTTCGGGAAAAACCCTTGGCAGGAGCTTTCGGGAACTCACTTGCTCCCCAAAAAAGCCGTCTATTTCCAACAAAGTTCCTATTCCATGACCTTTTTTCAAAAAAACATAAGGAATATATTTCTGAAGCAGGTCCCCATCCAAAAGCTTTCAAGCCCACACTGCGATGAAATGGAGGTCGAGAAATCCGGCGGAGCCGACGAGGGGCGTCAGCCCTTAAATTCGGCTCCGCCGGCTCCCCACGAGTGGCTTGCCCTACGAGCGTCCCAGAGCGACTAGAGCTCTAAGGTGAGGCGCGCCCCCAACCGCCGACCCTCCGACGCCGGGCCCCGAAAAACACCAAAAATCCTTCAGGAGGGTGGGGGAGAGCTTTTTGGCCGGGATCCGGGTCGCTCATAAGCGTCTCCAAGAGCATTCCCCCCCCCCGTTTTGAGGGTACCTAAAATCGGAAAAAAGCGCCGTTTTGACACATTTTTCGGACGATTTTTCGCTTTTCGAAAGTCACAAAATGCTGTAAATTACAGCATTTTTGCGTTTTAACATCTTTTGCGAGAGCCATGCAAAAACGCAGAAAATGCTGTAAATACCAATACTTTTTGGACCCAAGATGCACAAAACACCGCAAATACCAGTGTTTTTGAAAGCCAAGCAAAAAAACACTGTAAATTACAGCGTTTTTGGCGTGTTGATCGCAAAAACTGCTGGTATTCACAGTGTTTTTGCAATTTCAAGAAAACGTGGAAGGCACGAAACACTGTAAATAGCGGTGTTTTGGCCACTTTTGGACGCCAAAACGCTGGTATTTACGCAGTTTTTTGCCCGTGGCGGCGCCAAACCCCTGTAAATTACAGCATTTTCTTCCCTTTCTGAACCATTTTTTGCCTTGATGAACGGAAAAAACGCTGGTATTTACGCGTTTCCCAAAAAATCGAAGATCGTGACGTGAACGAAACCCTGTAAATAACAGTGTTTTAGCCACTTTCGGGGACTAAAACTGTGGTATTTACGCGGGTTCTTGCCATCTGACAGCGCAAAATGCTGTAAATTACAACACTTTGTGCGCTGTTTATGTTCAATTTTTTAAACTGCGATGCTTTCACCTGTTCTTTGCCTTCTTCCACAAGAAACAATGTTGCAGATTGAAACTGGAAACAATGTTGCAGATTGAAACTGGGCGACAGCGTGACCCGAAAGAAAGCTGGAGGGAGGAGTCGCACAGAAGCTTTTACACACACAGGGGCTTTTACACAGAGAAGTCTTTACACAAAGGAGCTTTTTACGCACAGAAGGTTTTACACAGCGAAGTCTTTACTCTAAGGAGCTTTTTCACACAAACGTCTAGGAGCCTTTACACACAGAAGCTTTTACACGAAGAAGTCTTTACACAGAGGGGTTTTTACACACAGACGCGTTTGCACACAGAAGCTTATTTTACACAGAGAAGCCTTCACACAGAGGAGCTTTTACACACAAAAGCATTTACACACAGCAAGCTTTTACACACACAGGGGCTTTTACACAGAGAAGTCCTTACACAAAGGAGCTTTTTACTCACAGAAGGTTTTACACAGAGAAGTCTTTACTCCAAGGAGCTTTTGCACACAAACGTCTAGGAGCTTTTTCACACAGAACTTTTTACTCGAAGACGTCTTTACACAGAGGGGTTTTTACACACAGACGCATTTGCACACAGAAGCTTTTACACAGAGAAGCCTTTACACAGAGGAGCTTTTACACAAAAGCATTTGCACACAGCAAGCTTTTACACACACAGGGGCTTTTACACACAAAAGCATTTACACACAGCAGGCTTTTACACACACAGGGGCTTTTACACAGAGAAGTCTTTACTCTAAGGGGCTTTTTACACACAGACGCGTTTGCACACAGAAGCTTTTACACAGAGAAGCCTTCACACAGAGGAGCTTTTACACACAAAAGCATTTACACCCAGCAAGCTTTTACACACACAGGGGCTTTTACACAGAGAAGTCCTTACACAAAGGAGCTTTTTACACACAGAAGGTTTTACACAGAGAAGTCTTTACTCTAAGGAGCTTTTGCACACAAACGTCTAGGAGCTTTTTCACACAAAACTTTTTACACGAAGAAGGCCTGACAGAGAATTTCTCTTCTGGGATCATTGGGAAACGGCCGTTTTTGGCCAAATCCTGGCCGGGAGCCTTTTGGAGCTTTTACACTGCCAAGCATTTACCACAGCAGGGCTATTGACACACTCTTCTGGGATCATTGAGAAACTATACACAAAGGCCAAATCCTGGCACGGAGCCTTTTGGAAGCAAATTTCGCCATTTGGCGGCCCCTCGGCCGGCTATTGAATTTCTCTTCTGGGATCATTGGGAAACGGCCGTTTTTGGCCAAATCCTGGCCGGGAGCCTTTTGGAAGCAAATTTCTGCCATTTGGCGGTCCCTCGGCCGGCTATTGAATTTCTCTTCTGGGATCATTGGGAAACGGCCGTTTTTGCCCAAATCCTGGCCGGGAGCCTTTTGGAAGCAAATTTCTGCCATTTGGCGGCCCCTCGGCCGGCTATTGAATTTCTCTTCTGGGATCATTGGGAAACGGCCGTTTTTGGCCAAATCCTGGCCGGGAGCCTTTTGGAAGCAAATTTCTGCCATTTGGCGGCCCCTCGGCCGGCTATTGAATTTCTCTTCTGGGATCATTGGGAAACGGCCGTTTTTGCCAAAACCTGGCCGCAAGGTTTTACACAGAGAAGTCTTTACTCTAAGGAGCTTTTGCACACAAACGTCTAGGAGCCTTTGCACACAGAAGCTGTTCCACGAAGAAGTCTTTACACAGATATATAGCTTTCATTCACAGACGCGTTTACACACAGAATCTTTTACACAGAGAAGCGTTTACACAGAGAATTTTACACAGTGAAATCTTTACACAGGCGCGCTTTCACACAGAGAAGCTTTCACACACAGAAGCTTTTACACAAAGAAGTCTTTACACAAAGTGGTTTTTACACACAGCAACTTTTACACGCAAAAGCTTTTACACAGAGAAGCCTTCAGCCAGAGGAGCTTATACACACAAAAGCGTTTACACACAGCAAGCTTTTACACACACAGGGGCTTTTACACAAAGAAGTCCTTACACAAAGGAGCTTTTTACACACAGAAGGTTTTACACAGAGAAGTCTTTACCCTAAGGAGCTTTTGCACACAAACGTCTAGGAGCTTTTTCACACAAAACTTTTTACACGAAGAAGGCCTGACAGAGAGGGTTTTTACACACAGACGTGTTTGCACACAGAAGCTTTTTTACACAGAGAAGCCTTTACACAGAGGAGCTTTTACACACAAAAGCATTTACACACACAGGGGCTTTTACACAGAGAAGTCTTTACACAAAGGAGCTTTTTACACACAGAAGGTTTTACACAGAGAAGTCTTTACTCTAAGGAGCTTTTGCACACAAACGTCTAGGAGCCTTTACACACAGAAGCTGTTACACAAAGAAGTCTTTACACAGATATATAGCTTTCACACACAGACGCGTTTACACACAGAGGCTTTTACACAGAGAAGCCTTTACACTTTACACAGAGAGTTTTTACACACCGAAGCTTTTACACACAGTGAAATCTTTACACAGACATTTCACACAGAGAAGCTTTCACACATAGAAGCTTTTACACAAAGAAGTCTTTACACAAAGTGGTTTTTACACACAGAAACTTTTACACACAAAAGCTTTTACACAGAAGTCTTTGCACAGAGGCGTCTTGACATGAAGTCACAAGTTGAAATTGGCAGCAGTTCTTCGGGAAAAACCCTTGGCAGGAGCTTTCGGGCACTCACTTGCTCCCCAAAAAAGCCGTCTATTTCCAACAAAGTTCCTATTCCATGACCTTTTTTCAAAAAAACATAAGGAATATATTTCTGAAGCAGGTCCCCATCCAAAAGCTTTCCAGCCCCCACACTGCGATGAAATGGAGGGCCGAGAAATCCGGCGGAGCCGACGAGGGGCGTTAGCCCTTAAATATATATATATATACATAGTTATAACTATCCATACTGCTATTAATCCCATCGCCCTAGTTTTTTCAACATCCCCATTCTATGGTATGCTTCATCCCAACCAAAGAAACCATGGTTTATTGGAAGTGTTTGATATTGGTGGGACGGAATTACCAGCGGGGGAAACCCAAGAGGAGTTTCCACCCGCAAAATGTTGGTATTGAATGGTGTTTCAACAAGTAACAATGGTAACTTTGGGAACCCAAGAAACATGTTACCCAACATCAATGGAACATTTTTCGTTGAGAAACAGCAGGGGAAGAACCTTTTTGGTATGATTAAATGTGGTTCAAACACGGGTTTTTGTTTAAATGGACTAATTATAGTTTCAAGCACTTTTGCCTGAATTCTCAATGATGTTGTTCGTTGAATGTCCTAGTACAGCAAAGATTGGGAAGTTTATCCATATGAACGTGGAAGGCATGTTTCCGAATAAACTCGTTGATTTGAGGACCAGTGTCAACACAGTTTGTTTTTGACCCTACACAAAGACAGGGAAAATCACCAACATTTGCCAATAACCAGATAGAATTGTCGTCCTGGTCAGATCTTTCACCGGTGGATTTCGATGGTTCAGAAGTGCTTGATTCCTTGAATTATCTCCAGAATTGTCCTGTTCTCCCAGGTCATGAAAAATGTCTGGGATCAACACCAGTGTGCGCGAGCCCAAAGATGATGGTGGTCAGGGTCAGGGGGTGCTGCCCATGTATCACAAAGCCCAATTTGAGGGGTCATCCCCTTAATTCTGAGAGAATTTCACGTGAAAAAACTTCGCACTCAACCCAGTTCCTCGAAATAGGGAAGAAGAATACTTGTATGCCTTGGCGGAGAGGGACGACACAAGATGACACAAGGTCCACCGAATCCATGTGAATGGGGATAAGAATTTGACAATCGAAATCAACCTCCATCGCATTCGAGGTAAACAAATGTCTCAAAATTAGGGACTGATCCAATGATGCCTTCAAGTTGAACTCCTGTTCTGCGACCTTCGCATTCGCCGCAACTTGGTTCAGGGTTGTTGATACATGTTGATACGATAGCCTCATGATTGTCTCTACATACACTTTCCATTCATGGTAGTTCATATGGCCATTTTGTCAATCCGCATTTCGATCCACTTGAACATCCTTTGTTTGCCGCATTGTATTCTCATCGTTTGTTGCATGGCTGAAAAATCCCCCCAGTAAAGTTTGAGATCAGCAGGTGGTTATACGAATATACAGACATGATACCCCTATTATGTGTATATAATATAATGCAATGCACTGCACTGTAGTGTAATGCAGAGTACTGTAATATAATGCACTGTACCGTAATGTAATGCACTGTACTGTAAGGGAACTTAAGGTAATGTACTGTACTGTAATGTAATGTAGTGTAACGTATGCATGTTTGCATGTGTATGTATGTACGTGATGTGTGTGTGTGTGAATGTTTGTGCGTGTGTGCATGTATGCAGTTATGCAATGTAATGTGATGTAAGGTAACCTCTATGCTTCCAGGTTGCAGAGGAAGCTGTGGCGCCACATCCAGTAGTCCGCCGTCCCGAGCAACGACCTTTGCCATGATGGCTTTTGGTGGGGAAAATGGTGGGAGAACTGAAACATTTGATGGAGTTGGGGTGAAACACCAACTTGAGGAAAAACTGCTGAAAATTTAAGGCTGTTCGCCTGATGTGTTGGTTGAATACAGAAGCAGAATGATCAAAGCTTAGGGAACTTGAGAGGTCTTAATCGAACCAAACAAGACACTGCTGAGCGGCTAGTGACTTAAGCTTTGGGTAGGAGAAGAGTGGATAGCTTGGTGGTGGTGGATTCTTTGTCTCAAATATAGATGGAAAATAAAGCATCAACCAGCTGTATGTGTCTACAAAACCACAATTTATGGACAAATGCTATACAAACCAACAGTTTCTACTTAACCTATATCCGTGACTTGTATAAAGTATGTCTGCTTTTCTATGCCATAGTTATTGCTATTTATTGGTCGCTTGTTGTCGTCTACTGGGCACTGTGACTTCACGACTTCACCGGTTCTCAGTGCTCCACCACAGTACATGGAGGTGCATCCTCCGAAATTTTCGCGAAGAGGAGGACTATGACTAGGAGGACGAACCGGAGGACTAAGACCAGACCAGTCAGCCGGATCGCTGATTTGAGGATTTTGAGGGTCGGAAAACAACCAAAAAAGCAGAGAGGACTCATAGCCTAGATGGATCCGGTTCGTTCTACCTCGAGTTTTGAAGCAGATTATGCACAAAGCAACGATCTGCTCATATCCGTTCCAAAAAAGAAGCACGTTCAAATCCAAAATAAATAAATAAAACATAATAAAACTACTACAGGTGAGTTAGAGCGAAATTTTCCTTAGTTTCTACCAAATTTACTGGTACGAAATCGTCCCATTGTGACCATAGTGGCCATGGCCTCTGGTACCAGCAGCATCCCCAGCAGAAGACCTTTGGCTTGGCCTCCAAGAAGGGCTAGATGCTCCTGCGCCGACATCAGTTCTTCATCTTGAGCTACTCATTTGCTAAATAGATCTAATATATCAGTATATCATAGTATCTAGTATCTAAATGTATCTACATATATGACAATATACAAAGTAATTAGTCACTAGATATCTACACATATGATACTAAGTAGTCACTAAAACTAACCTGGCGAATCTGAAGAACCGTCCCAGTCCTGCACGGGGGGCAAGCCCGTTTCGGCTTCCAACTCACCTCGCATTGGCTCCAAAATCCGGACCATTCGCATCTGAGCTGAAAAATCCGGGATAGAAAAGTCATGAAAAGTCATGACCTGTGTAAATTTCCCCTAGTTTCGCTGCATTTTCTGGGATTTTGCAGTTTTCCAGCATCCCCTCGACGTGAAGAAACTGTGGTTCCCCACGAAGTTGCACCAACTGCTTGGATGCACTGGAAGCTCGCTGTCCAATGAAGGCGCGCTGGAAGAACAAAACGATGCTGTCCAAGTCCTGCGGCGCAGTTCCCAACATGTGTTTTTTCAATTTTTGGGAGGTTCACTGCCCAGAAACATGAAAGAAACCATTTGTTGGGATGCCCCTACTAGACACCATTTAAAGAAAAAGGTTGGCCAGTGGGTCGTCAGAATTGGGATCTGTCTGGATTGATGAGAATTCTCAGAAAGTATGAAAGTATGTCATTCTTATGTGTCCATTTTCATCATCTCGGCAGATGAATGGGTTTCCCCAAAGGATTCTGAAAAACGCCGGACCTGCACCACAAACTCCGATGGAGCGGCAGTGGGAGGCAACTTTGACACCTTGCGTAACAGCTTCAGTGTCGGAACCCATTTTCAAATGGTAGGACTCCTGTAATCAGGGACACTTTTGTCTGATGATACAACCCCAGAATAAAATTATGAATAATGGATATGCACGCAAGCCTGCCATGGCCGATTTGCAGGTATCATCAGCTGTTGGTTCTGATTGCTGCCTGGCTAAAGTATCGAATGCAAGATTGTTTAAACGTCTTCGAAATATATAGTATTTACATCCCCCACATCCCCCTTCGAATTAAGTCATTACCCCGTACTCCCTGATTCTATTGGTATAAAACGGGGAGTACACCCCCCTCTATAGAATTTACAAACCTGATCAAAACGGCCCTCTATAGAATGTAGGAGTACGGGGTACTGACTTAATGCCACATTTTTGTGGAGTTCCCCTCTATAGAATCAGAACCACCATGTTCTGACATTTCTCAAGGGGTCACTTGCACATGTCCCAAATTTGGTTTGTGAACCCTATAGAGGGGGGGAGGCATACTCCAGCAGAATGGGGGTTTAAAAAGGCAGAATGCACGCCGCTTTTCTCAATGTTGAGTTGGCCCATCAAATTACGTTTCGCGACATGATTTTTAAAGTCCATGCAATTTGGGAAGAAAAAGTATTGTTTCTTTGTCCTACTGTTCCTGCAACCCTATGGACTCAGACTAAAACTATCTAAAGTAATATCTTTAAATAATCTAAACCATTTAAAGGATATCTAAAACGTCCTAAAACCATCAAAATCTGCTAACGAAAGTCTGGAGAGGAAAGCACATAATGTGGATTGAAAAGAGCCCTGCGCACGGCATCTGAGAGAGGTTCAGCACGAAACAGGTCAAAACAAAAACAAAAAATGCAAATGAAAGTTTTTTTTGATTCATTGTGATTTTTTCTTCGTTGTTTTACATTGGTTTGCATTTTTTTTTGCTGAATAAAAATCAACAGCCAACTATCCCCCTCTATGACTCTATGAAACAGGAACTCACCAACAGAAAAGCAGCCCCCACCCAGGCCCGGTCCCGTCTATAGAATCAGGAACCCACAGAAACACAGGCTCCTCCCACCATTTGGTGATGTTGGGAGTGAATGGAAAACAAGGTAGTAGAAACAAACAGACAGTACACAATATGACACAATTGAACAAATAAAACCAAATAAAACAGATACTGTAATGAAGATACTTGACAAGGAATGATACCTCAAACACTCACTCACCATCCTTCCTATATAAATTACACCTCAATGGGTATCCCTGGGTAAGGTGGCTGAGGAGTAGCCATACAGGCCCGGACACGTTGCCCCCTCCAAACAAAATGCCCCAGCGAGGGCAACAATCAATGGCTGGTGATGTTGTGGTTGTGCTATTGTTTGTGTCACACGCGTTGCTATATACACCCGCTTAAAAAAATATATATAACTATGTTTTTCATCTGAACACAATGTTTTTTAGACATAGCTGGGTGCACATAGATATGAATTTCTATGTTTTAAAATAAACCATTGTTTATTTTCTCGTTGTGCTCCTGGCCTTTGGCAGCTGTGGCCCCCCCCTTGTGTTAGCCCGCTTGTGTCTCCTGGAGGTGAACCATTTTTTACCTATTATTTCCCTATTATTTTCCCTATTTTTTCCCTATTGTTTCCCTATTATTTCCCTATTATTATCCCTATTATTTCCCTATTATTTCCCAATTTGTTCCCTATTATTTCCCTATTATTATCCCTATTATTTCCCTATTTGTCCCTATTATTTCCCTATTTGTTCCCTATTATTTCCCTATTATTATCCCTATTATTTCCCTATTTGTCCCTATTATTTCCCTATTTGTTCCCTATTATTTCCCTATTATTACCCCTATTATTTCCCTATTATTTCCCCATTGTTTCCCTATTATTTCCCTATTATTATCCCTATTATTTCCCTATTATTTCCCTATTTGTTCCCTATTATTTCCCTATTATTATCCCTATTATTTCCCTATTTTTCCCTATTGTTTCCCCATTATTCCCCTATTATTTTCCCTATTTATTCCCTATTATGTTCCCTATGTTTTCCCTATTATGTTCCCTATTTTTTTCTATTATTTCCCTAGTATTTCCCTATTATTTCCCTATTATTTCCCTATTTTTTCCCTATTATTTCCCTATTTTTTCCCTATAATTTCCCTATTTTTTCCCTATTATTTCCCCATTATTCCCCTATTATTTCCCTATCATTTCCCTATTATTTTCCTATTATGTTCCCTAGTTTTTCCCCATTATTTCCCTATTACTTCCCTATTATTTCCCTACTATTTCCCTATGATTTCCCTATTTTTTCCCTATTATTTCCCTATTATTTCCCTATTTATTCCCTATTTTTTCCCTATTATTTCCCTATTAGTTCCCTATTTATTTCCCTATTACTTCTCTATTATTTCCCTATTATTTCCCTATTTTTCCCTATTGTTCCCCTATTATTTCCTATTATTTCCCTATTTATCCCCTATTTTTCCCTATTATTTCATTATTATTTCCTTATTATTTCCCTTATTAGTTTCCCTATTTTTCCCTATTATGTCCCTATTGTTTCCCTATTATTTCCCTATTTTTTCCCTATTATTTCCCTATTTTTCCCTATTATTTCCCTATTATGCCCCTATTATTTTCCCTGTTTATTCCCTATTATTTTCCCTATGTTTTCCCTATTATGTTCCCTATTTTTTTCTATTATTTCCCTAGTATTTCCCTATTATTTCCCTAGTTTTTCCCTATTATTTCCCTATTTTTTCCCTATAAGTTCCCTATTTTTCCCTATTATTCCCCCATTATTTCCCTATTATTTCCCTATTTTTTCCCTATTATTCCCTATTATGTTCCCTACTATTTCCCTATTATTTCCCTATTATTCCTATTATTTCCGTATGTTTTCCCTATTGTTTCCCTATTGTTTCCCTATTGTTTCCCCATTATTTCCAGATTTTTCCCTATTATTTCCCTATTTTTCTCGATTATTTCCCTTATTTTCTCCCTATTATGTCCCTCTTATTTTCCTTATTTTTTCCCTATTACTTCCTTATTATGTCCCTATTATTTCCCTATTATTTCCTTATTATTTCCCTATTATTTTCCCTATTTTCCGTATTATTTCACTATTTTTTCCCTATTTTTCTCCTATTTTTTCCCTATTATTTCCCCTATTATTTCCTTATTTTTTTCCGATTATTTCCATATCCTATTTTTTCCCAATGTTTTCCCTACTATGTCCCTATTATTTCCCTATGTTTCCTTATTTTTCCCTATTAGTTCATTATTATGCCCCTATTTATTTCCCTATTATTTCTTTATTATTTCCCTATTATTTCCCTATTATTTTTCCCTCATATTTCCCTATTTTTTCCTCTATTATTTCCTTTTTTCCCTTATTGTTTCCCTATTATTTCATTATCATTTCATAATTTTTCCCTATTTTTTCCCTAGTCCCCTATGTTTTCCCTTTTCGTCCCTATTATTTCCCTATTGTTTCCCTATTATTTCCTATTATGTCCCTATTTATCCCCTATTATTTGCCTATTTTTTCCCTATTATTTCCTTATTATTTCCCTATTATTTCCCTATTATTTTCTCATTTTTTCCATATTATGTCCCTATGTTTTCCCTATTGTTTCCCTATAATTTCCCTATTATTTCCCTATTATTTCCTTATTATTTCCTTATTATTTCCCTATTATTTCCCAATAATTCCCCTATTATTTCCCTATTATGTCCCTATTATGTTCCCTATTATTTCCCTATTATTTCCCTATTATTTCCTTATTTTTTCCCTATTGTTTCCCTATTATTTCCTTATTATTTCCCTATTTATCCCCTATTTATCCCTATTATTTCATTATTATTTCCCTATTATTTTCCCTATTTTTCCCTATTATGTCCCTATTATTTCCCGATTATTTCCCTATTTTTTCCCTATTATTTCCCTATTTTTCCCTATTATTTCCCTATTATGCCCCTATTATTTTCCCTATTATTGCCCTATTATTTCCTTATTATTTCCCTATTATTTTCGCTATTTTTCCCTATTATTTCATTATTATTTCCTTATTATTTCCCTTATTATTTTCCCTATTTTTCCCTATTATGTCCCTAGTATTTCCCTATGATTTCCCTATTTTTCCCTATTATTTCCCTATTATTCCCCGATTATTTCCTTGTTACAGGACTCCTTTTACACTAGCGAACTGTTCCAGGACTCCTGTTACACTAGCGAACTGTTCCAGGACTCCTTTTACACCAGCGAACTGTTCCAGTTCCTCCTATTATTCCACTAGCGAACTGTTCCAGGACTCCTTTTACACTAGCGAACTGTTCCACGACTCCTGTTACACTAGCGAACTGTTTCAGGACTCCTGTTACACTAGCGAACTGTTCCAGGACTCCTTTTACACTAGCGAACTGGTCCACGACTTTAAAAGTCCGTAACACGGAAGTTTCTCCTCCAAACTTCCTTTGACAAATGAAAATGTCATGTTTCCAGTGTTGGTTCCATTGCAAGTTTGGAAAGCCTACAAACCTTAACCTACATTCAGAATTGAATATCTTTTTTTTCAGAAATACCTAGTTTCCAAGAACCCCAAACCACCAACCCAAACCCACCGTTAACCCTTAGTTGACAATCAACCGCAGCAGGCTCTCCTCCTCCTCCCACTCAACGATGGTGCCGTCTTGCCGTGTGGCGACGACTGCAGCCCCCGAAGCGCGCAAAGCTATTACGCTTTGTGTGACTTTGATGGGCTCCACCGTACCGGGAAGCCAGGCGACGGCCTTCCCACTGTCGCCTCAAAGTTGTGAAGGATTTCGGGTCGTGTTTTCTTTTCTCTTTTCCTCTTCTCTCCTCTTCTTTTCTTTTCTCTTCGTTTCTCTGTGCTTAGCTTTCTTTTTTAATCTTTGTCTTCACTGCTCTTGTGTTCTTGAATTATGTCTATGTTTTTTCCTTCTGTTTCCTGTTTGGTTGTTTCTCT